GCAACCTAGACTGGGACCGGTGTTGCAGGCACAGCGCATTTTCTCGCTCCGAGATACGCTTTTAGTTTGTGCGCTGACGGGGTGTCCACTCTGGGTGGGCCCCGCGAGCCGTCTCGAAGGCAAAAAGCTGCACTTGCTTCGTGTTGCGTCACCGTGCTTTGTTCGAGAACGAGGTTGACCTCGAAAAGCGCAGGTGCGCCTCCCCAGCGAAGTAGGCTGGCGTCGTCCCGAAAGGGAATGCCTCGGACGTATTCCGGGCGTTTAGTCACCTCCATTTGGAAGCGAGCTCGGCTGAAAAGACACTGCATTGTGTCCGTGCGTGGCTGACGTGGCCACTAAGCCGTTGAGTGGCGTCGGGTGTCGGGCGTTCGCCTCTCCCTTTGTCCACCTGTTTGATCCTAGGCCGGAAATTGACCTGGTTCGCTATCTTAGCGAAAGGAGATGGATGCTGCTGTCTTTGCAGTCCACGGAAAGCCGCACGTTGGGGCGCCAGATGTGGGAATTTCCTCTGGTGGTGGTTACCTCTTAGAAACACAAAGAGTTCCTTGGGTCCAGATAAAGACGTGTTTATTGACTGCAATGTCAGCACGCTTCGTTCTTAGACAATGAAAAGTCTGGGCGCTGGCTCAATTGCCAGTATCACCCGGTCGGTTTCCCGCGCTGCCGCATTAGACAGAATCACGGGAAGTCGGAGGCCCACAAAGAAAAACCGAGCTCCGTAGAGCCAGGGCCTCCGCCGACGAGAGCCCCTGGCCCACCTTCGGGGCCAGCTTATGTAGCCTCGGAGAATGGACGCGCCCGGGGAGGCCACAAGCAGTCGCGTCCATTATAACTCTCAAGGGTGTGCCGAAGGCGCGTTCACCCAAATGGGCAAGGGAGAGCCGGCCCCTTCGGGGAATTCGGCCTCGTGGTTCCTTGTATCCGGGAGGCCGACGCCATTGGTGACGACGGCTCCCACGGCCTGCTTGAAGCTAGGCCTGGATAGGGATAGAGGGAACCCGATGGTTCCCACACGGTGAATTCGGATGAATTTGTGAGGTGATGGTGAATTCGGATGAATTCATGATGTGATGGTGAATTCCGATAAATTCACAATGGTGAATTGTGAATTCGTGGTGATGGTGAATGACTTTGGGAATTGGTGACGTGATTGTGAATGACTCCGTGATTTCGGAGGCGGCGATGATGTGAAGGGGATAAATTCTTGGCGTGGTTGAACGCCATGATGTGAAGGGGATGAGGTTTCGGCGTGGTTCAACGCCAGGATGTTAAGGGCCGTGACTTTGGAATGTCGGAGTACCTTGCGACGTGAATGCGAATGAATTTGGAGACGTGATTTTGTTTGTGATGTGATGCTGAATGAAGGGGCTCTAAAATGCCGACCTATGGTCCCAACTGCTAATGGGCCGACGGTTGCAAAGGTAGCGAAGATGCTAGAGACGTTGCAGCCGGGGTGGCCATCCCGTCGGGACTTCAAAAGGAAAGACGGGGAGGCCCGAAGACGCCAGCGAAAGGACTTCAATCGCCGTCACGCCGCTCGCCAACTTCGCCCGCTGTCCGTAGGAGAGGACGTGTGGGTACAAGACGTGCAGTGCCGAGCAACAGTCCTCAGTCCAGCCAAGCGGCTGCACTCCTACGTAGTCGAGACCGGGACAGGAGTCCTGCAACGCAACCGCCGGCACCTGGTACCATTCGATGCGTCTCCGGCAAGCTTCGACGCTCCGGATCCCGGCGGTTCGACCAATGAGACTACGGCTCCAGCCAGTTCGGCGATCTCAACGGCAAGAGCAAGTCCGGGTGCAGGGAGCCAACAACAGCCGACCGCAGTTCAGCCTGCACCAACAACAGCGCCGACAAACTTGACAAACTCCCCTTCAACATTAACGTCGACGGACACGTCGATGGCAGACAATACGCCGATAAGAGTGACTTGGTCGGGCCGCCAAGTTAGGCGACCGGTACGTCTGGACTTGTAAAGCTTAGGAGGGGAAATGTAGTGATGACACGACAGTTCTCACTCACGTGCCCCGCGGCAACGCGTCCATGCTAGTGCGCATGCTCGGGGTTATCTTTAGTTCGAGAAAGGTGAGAATAAAACACTTGGGTTCCAGACTCCGGTGTGGCTGGTCGCTCCTTCCCCGCGAGACACTACCTAATATGCTCCAGTGTAAAAGCTAGCCTGGAATAAAATAGTGATCAAATGATAGCAGTACCTCTCGGTGGCTTCCAAAGACTCACGACTTGGTCGTGTTATCCCTTCGAAAAATTCTCTGATGGAACGGCATTGCGTACCAAGAACCTCCTCTTGTGCACTGTTATAAAATGGGGGGAGGATATTTTTCGGTAGCCGGCACAACCACTCGGGAAAAAAAGATTGCCGGGAGTTTCAGACGGCAATGATTATTCTAAAAAAATATATATACATAAATCGTGAAATGTTTCACGAAAAAAAAAAAAAAAAAAGGTTTGCCTACTCTGATTTGAACCTGGAACCCACGACACGTGAAACGGACACCCTGCCCATGAGCTAGTCCCAGGACTAGAAGTTCCCGTTTCGACTATTCCTTTTATACAAAACCCAATAGAAACAACTACCGGCAACTTTTTTTTTTTTTTTTCGGTTTGTTGTGTTGATTGTCGGCAGAACATTTACTATGTACGGTTTGAACGAATGTCGATGCAAGCGTGATTTACGCACGTACATGCCTCGTCCATTAGCGTAGTTTGCTTGGAAGGCATCGCTTGAAAAGTGACGCCCACACACCGCGTCGTGCACAGTCAACTTCTTCCCTACTTATCCACTGCGATTTGAGCTTTTTTCGACAGGAAGTCAATGAAAACTGATTCCAGGCTCTAAAGCATACGCTGAGCACTGCAGTATGCAACAAGAGCGTACTATATTCTAACAAACCTGCACGGAACGCGGCAACAACACGGCAGCCAACGACAGCACACTGGAACGCTGAAGTTGTTTTCCATGCAGGCGGTATTTGTTTCGGTGAATGCAGTGCCTCCTAGAATTTGATCTCCTCGCCAATAGACGTCGCTGGCAACGGAAGCAGGTCAGTGAAAATGCAGTGTTGGCTGCACCTCACGTTCCCGCTACAGTTAGCTGATATTGTTAGTTTTGCACCTGTACAACTTTTATGGCCAATTTAATAAGGATTTAGACGGAATTCAATCCCAATATTTAACTTGTAGCCTTTCTAGATTATACTGAATAGAATGACATTGTTTTCTCAGTAGCAAAAACTGAGTGGAGTTTCCCTTTAAAGGGGCGGTGCAATGATTTTAACACTGAACGAATATGCAGCTTGTATTTTTTACATTGTTTACTTCGGCATAAGTAAGAGAAAAAGTGCCACCATACCCCAAAATACCTCTATTTCGCTGCGTAATCGCAAAATAAAAAACCCTTTTTTTTCCCAACCTGCGGCCACATGGTGGCCGCAAATGGAACCTGTGGTGTGACGTCATTCGGAGTGGTTTTTGTAAGTGATAGTGTTAGGCAATTGTAAGCCTGATTTAAGGTTAAGTTTAAAAAATCTTGTTGTTTAGGCATGCAGAAACGCTTCAAAAGCCTAATATTGTCGCTAAAAGCGTATGAATTATTTGTGGCGCCATCTACCGCAAGTCAACAAAACCTGCCGTCGCCGTCATTCGTCGACGCCCGAGGCGCCTACGGCGGCTACACGAGCAACCCGGACGTTTTGTCTTTCCCTCGCTCGACGGAGTGCGTTGTTCGTGGTCCGTAGTATCGTGGTATCGTTATTGTTCCTGGTGTCTCGACCTCGACTTTGACTTCGACTTCCGCCGCGCCGCCATGTTGGTCGGGAATCGACGGGAGAGCGGCGAGCGGCGAGCCTGGCGAGCCGGCAAGCGCTGGGGAAACGGAAGCCAAAAGAACCCAACCGGAAACCAGCGCCACTCCGAATGACGTCACAGGCGAAGCTGGTGCCGCTTCAAAGTTGAAATGAGGGGTGCCGGAGATACCAATTTCTTTTATTTTTTTTAATAAAAACTAGGGCAAGCAGGAAAGAATACTTTCCGGTCCTTTGTTTTATATGTGGCCGGGATCAATTCCCGCAATTAATTAGCCAAAGTTCGGAAATTGTTGCACCGCCCCTTTAAGGACAACTTCACGAGGTGAGAACCACTTAACGCCACAGGAAACCACTTGAGGTTATTAAGATCCTTTTCTGCTGATTGTTATGTTCAATTTTGATTATCTATATACTACATGTTGATGTTATTATTTTTAGAAAACATAATAAGCCCCGATTTTAATGATAAACCAATGTGAAAAGGAAAAATCGAGCAGTAACTGCTAGCTTTAGAAGGTTAGAAGCTCATTGCCCTAACGAAAGTCATGTTTTTAAACTTTGCCGGTCGTGTTGATGGCATTGTCTGTGTTCCTGTTCTGCGAATGTCTCTTTCCAAGTATTTCCCTTTCGGTTGGATCCTCTCCTGGCATTTTAATGTCACGTGAGTTACCGAATCACGCAGTGAATGTGTTCTAAATGGGCCTCCTCAGGCAAGAAGCCAAAGGGGACTCACTTGGCGGTTCGAGATTCTGAAATTTTGCTTCAAGTTCGTTACCGATGGGTACAAACATTTTTTAAGTGTTCGCGCTATCCTCCGAATCAGGCAGGACACAATTGATTTTGTCGAACGTAGTGTATGTGGCCAAGTTAATTTCTTGGGAGTATGTACGTGAGACGAGACTTGTAAAACGGTCAACGTAATGAATTGCTAGTTCACGCTTAATGATTTTGCAACTTCCACGCATCAAAAGTTTCACACCACTTTACTGGCAAAATCAAAAATATTGTGGCAAAGGATGTTAATCAGGAGCGAATCTGGGGTCTGCCAAGTTGTGAAATTATAAAAGGAAAGTTGGCATCGAAATATAAACATATTTTAAGAAAAACATTTTTTTTTTTTAATCTGCATTACTTTAAAATATGAATGTACCAAATTTAGCAAAGTGGCCAAGCAAGTGGACTGGGTAAATTGAACATACTTCTGAATTGCCTAGTCAGACAAATGCACCTCGAAAGAAATAAATGGGAAGGTACCTCTAAAAACAGTGTTGCTCGAACAACACAGTTTCTGGGATCCGCGCATGAATTGTCTCTTCAGGATACCTTGTGGGTATGGCAGCATCTCGCACCTGTCGTTCAACACGCGTCAAGCCGCCGATCGTCAAGCTCCGGGCATCATTTCTCTGCTTGGAACCTCAAACAGTAAGACGAACAGTAGTTCTCTAATTTAGAAGTCTAAGGTGTGTCTCACTTCGTCCATTCAGTGCATGCTGTTACTTTCTTGTCCCAGTACGACGGTTCCTCGGAAAATCAAAGAGAATACCACGAGGGCGACAAACGTGTGGAGGCAAGCTCCAAGGGCCAGACACCCAAGACATGGACCATCAGTAACCAGGGGGATAAGGTGAGAAAACTCAAGAGGCAGCTCATCATCTGGGCCACAAGAAGAAAATCGGAGACTGTATGCTGGGAAATTTGTCGACCTTCATTCTTGGGTGGCAGGAGCATTTTCTGGTCACATTTGTACATGAGGTGAACCGCTACAGGAACTAGGTCGACTCCCCCTGTACCCACCGAGCTCTGCATTACAGGGCGTTGCAAAAGTGCTATACTGCATTTCACCCTAACTTGCCCAACACAAAGCTATGGCACCAACGAGCCTATTGGAATGTTTGGCTGAGGGACGTGACAGCATATTGGCCGAGACGTGTTAGTGTCTATTATTATAGATACTTTGTTTATTGTGATTTGTTCCACCTCACATTATAAACAAACGTTAAAATTGACCTTAGTATTATAGAAGTTTTGGTTTGATCTTGGTTTTAACTCTGAAAACAGAGTTGAATATGTACACTATTACAATGAAACTATTGAGCATGCCAGAGCCCCAAATTTCATTTTCATTTCAGATTGTAACATGTTAAAAATAGGAAATAAAATGTATGTATGTATGTATGAAATTTCGAAAATGCCGCCATCTTGGCCATGGTTTGGGGAGGACGTTAGATTCGAATGCGCTATATTGGATTTAAAATGTCTCGCTTCAACTCCAAATTTTCAACCTGTCGGTTGGATTCTGGTTTGCCTACACCGTGTAGAGCTGAGTATCGACAAAGGCATCGCCGATTGCCACGTGCAGCAACTGCCGCAGAAATTTTTCGTCCATGCTCACTGTCTTCTGAAATCGCACACCTTGTATCCATAGCTCCTTCGAATGTATCATAGTAAACCGGTGCAGTATGAAGAGCCCAGTCCCACAGTCTACCATCGCTACACCTCATCGCCAGCAGCGAGCGGTGCTAGGATGCCCTGCAGTCACGCGCTGCATTCACCGGCGCGAACCAGTTACTTTGAGAGACCCCATGGACAGGACGCACCTACTCCTCGTCTGTGGGAGTGGGAAACAACCGGCAGCCCCTGATGTTTCTGCGGGCAGCTGAGCCAAGCCCCAACGTCTGCCCTACCCAGCTGGCCCAGTGTTTCCTTAGTGCTGAGATGGGATACTTTGCTGTGGTCAGCCACAGCTGTCGACTACCGCAGTCGTCTTTTTCGAGGCGACCAGCAACCTGCTTCGTTCCCAACTCGGGCCCGAGGCCAGTTCCAGGGTCGTCAATATGACAACCAGGCGTTCCGAAGAAATCCTCCTCCGGCGGCCGCTGCAGCTGGACAGGACCAATGCAGTGTGGAGGCCCACGGCCAGCAAGGTGCCCGGTCAAGGTGCCCGGTCAAGCCACGTCCCGCCAAGCCGGCAATCCCAGCCGCCTGAATGCATTCCTCGCTGACGCTAGGGTAAACGGTTGCCCATTACATCTTCTAATTGACACCAGATTGCATGTCTCCACCTTGAATCAAACTACCTGCAGTCAAGTTGATACAAAAAGCAAAATAAAGTAGACGCCTTGTTTCAAAGACTTCGAACATCCGTTTAAACGAAAGCTGGGTTTAGTACGGAAGCACACTCATATAGCGAAGGTGCGACACACTGTCCCACCTGTCCAGTTAAAGTTACGTCATCTCCCGATAACGCTTTGCCACACGGTTTTTTAGATCTTCAAACTTGAACGCTAAGGCATCATCGAATGCATCTTTGCCTCTGAATGGGTCTCCTTTTGACATGAATTCAGGTGTTTTATTATTACGTTGCTGTGTATGGTTGTGTCCTATTTCCGCATGTGTTGTTCTTTCGTACTAAACACCCCCCCCTTCCCATATAGAACTGATGCACTATTTTTAAAACATGAAGGGGGGCTTTACTTCTCCCCCGTACCCCATAGAGAAGTTTCTTTCGTAGATATTTCCAACATTATACAGGGTGAAAATAAAAACCATCCGACGCACTCGTCGCGAGATCCACCGGGAAAAAAACCTCATTCGCCCTGAGAATGCAGCACACCTCAATGACAGGCGTGCTCAGATTGAACTGTGCTTCGGAGTTTCAAAACCTGTTTTGAAATTATAAAACAAATTCGAATATCTTCGCCAACTTCGCCATAATCAATCTTTTCACAACCACAAAGCATCCAGATCCAAATCCAACTTGTGCCATTGGCAAGAGAAGAAAACACGAAAGCCTGGAGCGGGGAGGAGGGACGTTCACATCGCTCCAAGCTACTGACTGGTTCCCTTTCTCCGGTTCGAACACCGTTCTTCAACTGTCAGTGACTAATATATCCGGGTTGTCGTCTTCCCGTCACTCTCCCTATTCCCGCGTGTGCGATGTCGCAATGTGGTGCAATGATGGGGCAATGTGTGCAAGCAATGTGCGACCGATGGTGGCCATGGTTTCCATGTTGCTTTCGTGCTGGATTGGTGCTTCGTGTGTTCCCTCGCATTCGCATCTGCTACTGTACCGCCCCCCCCCTACTGTGACGTGCTTCTGCATCTTTCCTGTTTTTTTTTGTTTTTTTTCTGTATGTTTCATTCCTCTTCTTTCTCTCCCAATGAGTATGTACGCTAAAGTCAAAATTCTTCAAGATGGCAAGATGTGCATAGTCCACAAGGCTGTCGTGAAAAACTTTCACCCAACCAACATCACTGGCTTTGAGTGGAAGAAGGTTTATAAAGTCTTTAGGGACGGGGACGGAAACACGCGTTGCGACTACTACGATGCCGAGATCATCAGGCTAACGGGCGAGTCATGCATCCGGAGTGCGGGTTCAACCCTTTAAAAACTCAGTTTGTGTGGCAATTATGCGAATTGTCACTGTCTTGAGCGAAGGCGTACACAACGGAAGGTACAGGTTTCTAGTTTTGGTTGGTCAAAGGGAAAGCAGGAAACAATATTAAGTGCATGTAATTTGTGATACGTTATTTGACGTTGCAAGATGTGTTGAACAAGTATGTTTATTGTAATCATTTGTTAGAGCGTATACTGTGCAGCGAGCGACATAGTTGGAAGTGCTCGTCAGTATTTTTAATACCGTTCGAATATGCAGACTGCCAACTGTCAAAAATCAGAGGGAAGATATATAAGATATTTCAAATTTATTGATTTCTGATCACATGTCATGAAAAGTTACAAGACCGTGGAAATATTGTGAATTATCCGGGATTTCGAATTAACCGAAATCAAATTATTAAGGTTCTACCAGATGTTTTACTGCATGTGCCACCACTGAGGGGCTCGCAAAAAGCATCACGACGCTCCTTGAATAGAAAATTACGTCGTGTGGCTTGAAGCTACAAGCTGTTTTTCAAGTGTTTGACTAGCTGCCAGTGCATGTTAAGAAACGGATTAACGAGATACTGAAGTTGATCGCGCAATATTATCTGTTTCAAAACACATTGATTTCTATGAATTGCGATGCCCACGGCGAAACAATCCCCCTCTAGACCGCCATCTTTGAATTCCGCAGCAGCGCCTATACTCGGTGAAACTTGCGAATTGCAATAAGAAGTGGCAGGCAGTCTTGTTCCATGACGTCACAACACTCTTGAAGGGACACTGACAGGGTATTTATGGTGGCCAAGGTTTTCACGTGTACACTACACTACGTGAAAAAAACGGGCAACCGTTTCCACAGAACGGGACCTTCGAAAAAAAACGCATACCCAACAAGATTCGTCAACAATATCTACAAGAAACTTCTCACCCATCTGCAGCCGAGAAAACCCATCCCTCCAGCCGCATGTGCGTCCCGTACCTCAGAGGCACGAGCGAAGTTCTCACCCGTGCTCTCAAACCATACGGCATAGCAGTGACACAAAAGCCCATCTCAACCATTGGCCAACATCTTCCTCTTCCAAAAGATTGTCGTCCACAACAAAAAGAAAAAGCCTTGTATATCCTTGCGCCGACTGCGCCGACTGCCTTGTATATCCTTGCGCTGACTGCAACACTTCATATGTGGGAGAAATCAAAAATTTCCCCGAACGTCCATGCAGACAAAAATAAAATGTAAAAAAGAAGGACGTGCAAGGAAACGCTCTAGCGAAACATGCAGAAAAGAACAACCATGTCATCAACTTCAACAGCAGTTCCGTCCTAGACACCGAAAGAAACTGGAAAAAAAACGATTCTATTTAGAGTCATGGCATATCTACAACGATTCGGCGATGCAAATCCTATGCGAGATGGTGCAGAAGGTGCAATGACACTCCTAGTCTTGCCACTATCAAATGCAGAAACAGAGTGTGTCTTTTCCGCTGGGGCTCTCACGAAGAGCAACTTTAAGGGCAACTCTTGTCAACATCTTTTTAATTGAAAATTATGACTTTTTTAGCTAAGGCACCGTTACCCTTAAATTAAAAGGCCTAATTTTACTTTCAATATTTCATGTAGTTTCATAGATATCACGGCTCAAAGTTTGGTTTCGGGTGTCTACGGCAAAACCAACACTATCTGCTAGAGGAATGGCAACACTGATCATCAGCCGTACAGCCTCGACATGCCGTCACCGTGATGCTGCGGTATGCAGTACAACCAATCAACCGCAGCTCCACCCAACTTTACTAATTACCTCAGTTGAGGAGCTCCCGCGGAGGGGGTTTCCCCTCTCTCACTCACTTCAGTCTGCCTCCCGTCGTTTGAAGCACCATCTAAATTTATTTTCCAAAACTGTGTGCTCCATAAAGAACACTATAGTCCGTTGCAACCTAAGAACGAAGGGTGAGGGTAAAACGGGCCGGGGAGGAGGAAGCAGACGGAACGCTGGAGAAGAGAGGGGGAAACCTCCTTCTCTCTTTAGCGTTCTGTCTGCTTCCTCCTCCCCGGCCCGTCTTACCCTCGCCCTTCGTTCTTAGGTTGCAACGGACTATAGGAATGCCATCTAGACGGTGCGCTCCGAAACGTCTGTATTCCATAGAATACACTACAGTTACCATAGCAGCCGCCCAGTGCTTTGAAAACGACAGGAGGAGAGTCTTGAAGGCAGAGGGGATCAGTGTTTGTGAAAGCACCGTCTATCAGCAGTTACGCAACTGAGCTAATCTAAGCTAACCATGATGTGATGTCACGGGGGTGCAGCACCAGTGTTCCTTGAATAACTGCTAACCTACTTGCCGCCCGCTAAAGAGCAGCTGGTTGCATCTTTAAAATCAGTTATACGTATACAACATATATCTTTGTGTACCAACGTCCCCGTCCTGGCACGCCATTTTTTTTCTTCTTTGTCGTCTTCTTAATCTTATTATTATTATTAATTATTATTATTATATATGAAAAACTTTTCTATCCCCTTCTCAGGCCAGAGGGAAGCCTTTTCAAAGAATTTACAGGCCAGCTGACTGAGAGCCGCACATATCAAGCGGTATTCCAAGCGCCTCTCTCCGATAATGCAGAATGTCCGATATCAGAACATCTGAGGTCTCCGCACGAAAGATAACAAATTTTTTTCTAACGTAACAATAAGAAGAAGAAGAAACTTAGGTGTTTAATGGCACAGCGACAACTAAGGCCATAGTGTGCCAAACACAAGGTAAGTTAAAGGCAATACTGAAAAGACCTATAGTAGGTAGTTCTATCTTAAAACTATGGAAAATGAATGATTAAAACCTTACAAGATACAGGCCTATTAAGGCCTCCAGAAATTTTAACCAATGCTCCACTAACCAGAGGCACTCTAAAGGAATTTCCTTCACGCAAGGAAGTATGGAAAATGTGCCGACAATACAAGATCGCCGGCTCTCTGCCACCACTAATTTTCAGGTAAACGTAACAGAAAAGAAAACAAACTAAATTTCATAGCCGATGTAGGATGTCAATGCGATCTAAAAACTTAAAAACTTGACGGTGCGGCACAAGAGGTTCGTCACCCAATAATAATGCCGGGTGGAACGGGACGCGATTCCGGAAAAAGGTAGAGAAAAAAGTGGTGCGTTCGTGATGATACTTAGGACATACGATAAGAATATGCAAGACGCTCAAAGACTCGTTACAGTGTTCACATTTCGGAGCTGCCTCTGCCCGTAGGAGGTACCCATGCGTGAGATGGGTGTGTCCCAGTCTCAGACGACAGAGCACAACCTCAAAGAAGCGCTCCCTGTGTCGGCAACTTGCCCATTCCCGCAGGGTAGGTTTCACACAATGAAGCTTGTTGTGTATTTCCGTGTCCCATTCTAACTGCCACTTTTTCTGGATTGCTTTTTTAAGACTGTGTTTGTAATCAGTGTACGGAATGTCCTTGATATCCACTTGCCTCTCAATGCACGTACTGGCAGCTCTATCAGCATCCTCATTTCCCTGAATACCGACGTGACTAGGCACCCAACAGAAATTGATGTGTAAATCTGATTTTGCTGCAGTGTGGACAATGTTCCGAAGCCTAGTAACGAAGGTATTCTTTGGTACTTCCAAAGAAGCAAGTGCCTTTAAAGCGCTGAGAGAATCAGAGTAGATAACAGAATGCTCGATAGCGTTTTCTATAATGAATTCAACAGCTAAAGTTAGAGCATATAATTCTGCAGTAAATATTGAGGCTCTGGCATCAAGACGCCTAACAACCTTCCATGTCTCGCTTATAACAGCACAACCAACAGCAGAGTCACTCTTAGTACCATCTGTGAAGAAACTCCTACAGTTACTGTACGTATAAGCAACCTGGAAAAACTCCTGCTGCAGGGCAGCAACAGCAGTTTGCCGCTTATTATATTTGATCAGAGTAAAATTGATTATGGGTGCCACGCACTCCCAAGGAGCCACTGCCAGTGGAAGTTGGGCAACTAGGCTGAAACTGTCAAGGTTGTAAGCCTGTGAATATGTTTTAATTCTCTGCGTAAAAGGGGGTACGACAGATGGCTTGTTCTGGAATGTAGTTTCATAGCGAGAATCCTGAATTGCTTCCTGGATCGGATGAGAAGGGATAGAGCGAATTCCTAATGCATACTGAAAGCCTAAATAAAACCGTCTTTTTTCAAGTGAATATTCATTACTCTCAGCATATAGGCTAGGAATAGGGGACGTCCGAAAAGCACCAGTGGAAAGCCTCAGACCTTGATGGTGAATCGGGTCCAACACCTGAAGGGTAGATTGACGTGCGGATCCATACAC